TGACCTGAGCTGAAGTCAGATGCTTAACCGACTGAGCAATCCAAGTGCCCCCAAAACATCCATTCTTATCCTTTCTCTGGGTCTTCCTATCTCATGTTGACCTCATCTGCCTTTGGACTCCACTCCTCCCCTTGCTTCTGGGGCTTTGCCCCACCATCTGGACAGGGATCCCTTTTTCTCACCAGCTAGTCCACATCAGCATATGAAAACTTGTAAAGGGAAAAGGCAAAACCTCCCTCCATCCCATATGCCCACCTAGCTACTGTCCATTTCTCTTGTCCTTGTCAGACATTTTGAAAGCACGCCCTCCACCTTCTCACCTCCCATAACTCCTCTGTATACTGTGACCTAGCTTCTGCTCCCATCATTCACTGACACTGCTCTCTGCAAAGGGCCCATCAACACTCTTGTTAAATCCAGAGAACAATTTCTTATCCTACCTGCACTTTCCGATATCTAACACTGCTGACCACTCCCTCTGTTATGGGCCTTGGCTTCCATGATGAAATGCCTTCTTTGTTTTCTTCCTCTTTCAGTTGCTCCTTTTCAGACTCCACCTTCTCTGCTCATCCCTTGAATGTTGCTCTCTGGAGTTCTAACCTAAGCCCTCTCCCAGCCTCTTTTCATTCCTGTCTCTCAGGGTGATATTGACTAACCAAGTGGAAAGTCTCAGCCACTGGAAAACACTTCCTCTGCTACACTCCAATATCTGACTGGCTCACAGACTCAACTTTCAAATCTCTCCCTAATCTGTGGCCTCATCTCCACCTTAAGAAATCTCCTTCCTCCCAGTTTTTGGCCCATGCCTGTCCGTTGTGCAAAGTTTATTAAGAATGATTTTTCTTTTTTAAAAAATTTTTTGAAGTTTATTTTGAGAGAGAGGTTGCATGTGTGAGCAAGGATGGGGGAGGAAGAAAGAGGGAGAGAGAATCCCAAGCAGGTTCCACATGTCAGCGCAGAGCCCGACATGGGGCTCAATCCCACAAACCATGAGATCATGACTTCAGCCAAAATTGAGTTGGACACTTAACCGACTGAGCCACCAAGACTCCCCAAGAATGATTTTTCTAAAACACAAGTCCGATTGTGACATTTCTCCATTTAGATCACCTGAACAGTTTTCCGTCCATGTAGTTGTCTATCCTACAAAATCCAAGCTCCTGAGCCAGGCAAACGAGGTTTTTCATGTTGGACATTTTGGCCCCTTGCACGCTTATCTCCTGTTACCCCCTTATATCACTCCCATTCATCACCACCTTGGCACCCTGTGCTTCTTGAGGCTTCTGTGCCTGGGCGCTTCTGGGAACAGCTGATCCCTCTGTTGTTCCTTCTCTTACTCACTCTTCAAACCTCCTCTGAGAAAAGACCTACCCAAGCACCACACTCCTTGCAGTCAAATTAGGCACTTTCTCCTCCATGCTCCCAGGGTGCTCTGTATTTGCCATGAAGATGAAGTCACACCGGTCTCCTCTACCAGAGCCGGAGCCCCATGTCTTCACTTTTGCAGTCACTACATCATTGAGCAGATTTGGACACACAGTAGCGGTTCAGTAAATGTTGTGGTGTGATATTAACCCATCTTAGGAACAGATGGTTACAAAGGGTGGAGCCCACTGCTTTGAGCCTGAAGATGTTTTGACTGAACTTCTTCCCTCAATTTTTATTCTGAAAAAAAATTTCAAGCTTACAGAGGAGTCGCAAGAATAGTACAAGGAACCCTCAGATATTCTTCACCTAGAGTCACAAATTGTCAACATTTTGCCACACCTGCTTTATCTGTTTCTTTTCTCCGAATCAGTTGAGTTCATTGCAGACCTCATGACACTTTACCCCCTAAATAATCTGCCCTTCTCTCCAAAGAACAAGAATGTTCTCCTTTCTAACCAAAATTCAATGCTCAGAAAATTTAACATTGACCCAATGTTATTCAATAAGCAGTCTGAAATGCAATTTAAATGCAAATTAAATTTCCCCAATTTTGTCATTTTAAATTGTTTTGGATTCAGGAGCTCTAGGATTGTGCATTGCACTTAGTTGTCACATTTCTTCGGTCATCGTCTTCTTCTTTTTTTTAATGTTTATTTTTGAGAAAGAGGGAGAGGCAGAGAGAGAGGCATACACCGAATCCAAATCAGGCTCCAGGCTCTGAGCTGTCAGCACAGAGCCTGATGCGGGGCTTGAATCCACGAGCCATGAGATCATGACCTGAGCCAAAGCCAGACACTTAACTGACTGAGCCACAGAGGTGCCCCCCTTTTTAAAAAATAGTCTCCACACCCAAGGTGGGGCTCAGACTCACCACCCCAAGATCAAGAGTCGGATGCTCTGACTGAGCCACAGCCTGGCACCCCTCTCTAGTCTTTGACATTCACGAAATGTTTATTTGCAAAGAGTCCAAGCCAGCCCCATCGTGCAGCATTTCTCTCAATTTGGGCTTTTCTGGTTGTTTCTGCATGCTTTGATTCAGATTAAGCACTTTGCACAGGAATACTGCATGGGTGACGGTGTATCCATGTCCATTTGCTCCACTGTTGGTGATGCTGAGTTTGATCATTTGGTTAAGGTGGTCAGTCTCGTTTTCTCTCTCTCTTTTTTTTTCCGTGCTGTAAGAAGTAGGATGTAGAGCAGTGACTGTTTTTTGTTTTTTTTTTTTTTAGAAATGGAAAAAAACTTCCTTTATTTTTTATATATAATTCATTGTCAAGTTAGCTAACATACAGAGTATACAGTGTGCTCTTGGTTTTGGGGGTAGATTCCTCTGATTCATCTCTTGCATCCAGATTTCTCCTTTGTAAAGATAACTTCTCCCTTTTGTAATTAAGCGGCAAACTGTATGAGTTTGTGTGCGTGTGTGTGTGTGTGTGTGTGTGTGTGTGTGTGTGAGGCACCTTCATACTGTGTGAATATGCTCTTCTCCAACCGTCTTTTACTCATCGATTCATTGATTTGTGTGTGTGGCAAAACACACATAACAAAATTTACCATCCTAACCATTCAGTGTACAGGTCAGTGGTATTGAATACGTTCAAAATGTGGTGCAACCATCATCACTGTCCATCTCCAGGACTCTTTTTATCTTGTAAAACTGAAACTCTACACCCATTAAACAATAACTCCCATGCCGCCCTCCCCCCAGCCCCTTGCCACCACTATTCTCTCTGTCTCTGTGAATCTGACTACTCTAAACACTTCAGATAAGGGGAATCATGCAGTATTTGTCTTTTTGTGACTGGCTTATTTCACTTAACATAATGTTAATATGCTAAGTTCACATTAGTAGCATAAAGTGAACCTCAAGATTGATCCATGTTGTAGCATATGTCAGAATTTCCTTCCTTTGTAAGGATAATAGTCTACTGTATGTATATCCATACATTTTGTTTGTTTATCCATTCATCTGTGAATGTACACTGGGTTACTTCCACATTTTAGCTGTTGTGAATAATGCTGCTGTGATCATGGGTGTACAGATATCTCTTTGAGACCCTTCACTGGTTTTTAAAGACAAATATTTTATTTTTAATTTTTATTTATTTTGAGAGAGAGAGAGAGATAGAGAGAGGACACACACACGCGAGAGCAGGGGAGGGGCAGAGAGGGAAGGAGAAAGAGAATCCCAAGCAGGCTCTGAGCTGTCAGCTCAGAGCTGGATGCTGGGCTCAGTCTCATGAACCGTGAAGTCATGACCTAAACAGAGAGATCAAGTGTTGGACACTTAACCAACGTACCCACCCAGGTGCCCCAAAGACAAATATTTTAATAATAATTACATTAATTCTGAAGATTTTCTTTGTGAAAATTATTTTTTGGAGCAATTTCTTTTAGGCCAATTTAAAATTTTATTTTTATTTACTTATTTATATTTTTTGAGAGAGAGCACAAGCTGTGGGGAGAGGGGCAGAGGGGGAGAGAGAGAATCCCAAGCAGGCTCCACGCTTAGTGCAGAGCCAGATGCGGGGCTCAATACCATGACCTGAGCCAAACCCAAGAGTCAGGTGCTCAACTGACTGAGCCACCCAGGTGCCCCAGGTCAATTTAATTCTTGATCAATTACCTACAAAGAATAATACCTTTTCCACTTCCATTTTAATAAAGTCACTTCTTTATTTCTTTTTGTATAATTTCCTTTTGTATAAAAGTTAGAAAATATTTTTGTTCACATAAAATTTTAGTAATTATAGCTTCTGCCTTTGTATGTTTTCTGGTAAGTCTTGTTTTCCCCCAGGTTACTTATATATATATAAATCTTACCATGTAATGTTCTATTAGTAATATTCTTTGTGTAATCTCTACCCACAATGTGGGGAACAAACTCAGGACCCCGAGACCAAGAGAGGCATGCTCTATGGACTGAGGCAGCCAGGTGCCCATCTTTATGAATTAGATAAAAGATGAAACAGCGAATCCACAAGAAAACGATGCCCACTTACTATTGCCACTGCAATTCTTCCTTATTTGACACCTCGTGTCAGTGTTCATGCCTTTGGTGAAGTAAAGCTATGAAAGGTGAAATTACAATGTTATTTTGTTTGTTTACTCAACTGGGAAAGCTTTTCTGAAGATGATGTTGGAGTGTAGCAGCTCCAGTAAGCAAATGGAGAAAATGTTCTCCCCCAGTAAATTTGATGAGCACAGAACACAGGAGAAAGCAGTCAGGTACTTCCTCCCTTTCATTGTCATTATTCGTTTTCCCTGCTAAATAAATATCCATTGACATCTTAGTAACAGTGTCCATATAGTTGGTGCAAAGTTTTTGTAGGACGGTGAAAATTTGTGAAAGAAGTCATCAACATCCAATTATTGAAAAATTGCTGTAAGCTCCAATAATAGGCGCTTGCTATCACTTTTTTTTTTTGCTTGCAATCACATTCTTTGGTCATCTATGAAGGATTATTACGTGCATAGAATGTAAACATTTCTGAAGTAACAGAACTTGGCAGTTCGTGCTGCTTGCACAGGTGTTGGAAAGGCGTGAGAACCAGGGTGAACCAACTCTGCAGGAACAGAATATGATTGCGGCGTGAAGCGCGTGCGCACAGCACAGACCACAGCGCACCGTGCGCGCGCTCCGAGCTGGAGTCTGTCGCACCGCGAAAAGGGTGATCAAGTGCTCGGGGCGCATCCTCCAGGACCAGGTTCACCGAATACCGTTAGCGGGGCCGCTGACAGCCTGCCAGCTGCATCCCCAATACCTCCCTCAGGCGTCCCTTACCCACCACTTGCTTGCACTGAAAATAATCACTGCGATAGTAATAAAGAATCCTTAAACGGCGTCTCGGTTTTTTGCAGGCGGCCGAAGGTCCCCTTCCTGGGCTCTGCACTTGCGAGTCCCCTGGCGGGCCCGGGGCTCCTGGATCGCGCCCCTCTCCAGCCGTACTTCTCGGACGCCTTGCCCCCATCACCCCTGCCTCCCAGACCGTGCGACCCCGTTTGGCCTTCGCGGCCTCCCGGCCCCAACTCTGCACTGCTCCGCGCGACCCCGCCTCCGGATCCCCGGCAGGGCTCCTGCTCTCTCCGCGCCCCGCAGCGGGGCGGGGCGGCGCAGGGGGCGGGATTTTCTGGCACCTTCTGGGCGCCGCGAACGCTCGGATCTCGGGCTCGGAGGCCGGAAACGTCGCTATGGAGCCGCAGGGCATCCCGCACGGAGGCCCTTTCTTGTTCTCCGCGGAGGCTGCTCCGTCAGCGTAGACATGGCCAAATGGGGCCAGGGGGACCCGCGCTGGATCGTGGAGGAGCGGGAGGACGGGACCAATGTGAACAACTGGCACTGGTGCGGCCGGGCGGGGGCCGCGGCTTTCGGGCCTCCTCCTCCGCAGCGGCGGGCGGGATGGTGGGGCCCCTCTGCGAGCACCGGGCTCCCGGTGCCCTGCGGGGTGGGGTGGCCAGGCCTCTCGGGCCGCGGCGCTCCCTCCGTAGGGCGGGGCCTGCACAGGTGCAGAGGATTCTCCCCGCCCCCGCAGCCGCTCAGCGCGCTGCTGTAAATAAGCCTCAGGTGAGTCCGGAGACCTGGGGGCTTATCTGCACTTGGCTGTGGAACTGCAGTTTCCTTCTTGTGAAACTTGGTTTGGGCCCCACGAATGGTATCTGATTTACCTCTTCAACTTTGACAGTCTGTGACCTTAAGACTCCCCCACCCCCCACCCCTCTTGATGTTTCTAGAAGTTAAAAGGAGCTAGAGTGTGCGCGTGTGTGCTCGCTTGTCCGTTGGTCTGCGTGTAGTGGAAAGAACAGGAAATTGGATCTCAGCTGTAGATCTAACTCGATTGGCTTTTAGTGAGCCCCGCCTTCTAGGAGTTTGAGCGGTTGCACATCCTTTTTGGATGTCATCTGGAACATGGGCTTGATACTTGCCTCCCTCTCTGCCCCAGAGTTTCAGGAGGTGATGCTGCATCACTGAGGGCTGTGTTACCTGAAGGCCATCAAGCTGATGTTGAGGCAGGTCAGGGCAGAGTAAAGCCGTCAGCTTGTGAGCGGCTTATTGAGGGAGCCCTGGCCTCTCCTTTCCCAGCACTGTCACCATGACACACCAGGGACTTCTCTCACCTCGTTTCCACTCCCTAAAATGGAAGCATTTATTTGGGAAGATTGCATGAGATAATATATGTGTGAAAACACTTGATCATTTGTCTTGTGATTAAAATTAATTCGGTTATTACTGCCTTTTTGTATGGCCTCTTTGCCCATCCATTTCCAATGGGTGAGATTGCTAGACCCCTTGCCCCCAAATAAGCTAGTGTTTTGAAGACAAAATACTACTTTACATAGTGGATAATAGTATCCTAACGAACTGAGCGGGAAAATGAAAAGATATTTGGTGGAAATCTGATTTAAGAAGCACATTTGGAACTTTGAGACTGGTAGGTCTGTCAAGGCTGCCTGAGAGGAGATGAGCGGATCTCACTGCCCTGATGCCCCAGCCTGGGCATGTGGATACCAGCTGGGGCTTCCATTCATGGCTCTTCCTTTCTGGTCCCTGGCAGGACAGAGCGGGATGCTACCAGCTTGTCCAAGGGGAAGCTCCGCAACCTCCTGGTAGGCATCGTCGTGGAGAATGAGACTGGACACCGTGTAATCAGTGAGCTGAGGCAGGTAGAAGGTGAGGTTTCTTGCAGCAGCCGCAAAGGATTTCTTCTATGAGTGGAACATCAGACTGAGCTGGAAAGGTAACGGGGCTCAGGGGACAGCTAGGGCTGGAGGCAGCCTTGGGGCAGAGTTGGTTCATTTATCATTCATTTGTTCGGCAGATATTTTTAGAACTCCTGATATGAGCCTAGCACTTACTGGCCCCTGAATTGGTCTTCATAGTTACAGATACCCTTCTGTCATGTCCGACTAGCTGGGGGCTTCCCTTTCTCCCATCACACAGTTGCTTAGAGCTCTTTTTTTTTATTTTTTATTTTTTAATGTTTATTGATTTCTGAGACAGGGATTGACAGAGTATGAACGGGGGAGGGTCAGAGAGAGACGGAGACACAGAATCTGAAACAGGCTCCAGGCTCTGAGCTGTCAGCACAGAGCCCGACACGGGGCTCGAACTCACAGACTGTGAGATCATGACCTGAGCCGAAGTCAGACGCTTAACCGACTGAGCCACCCAGGCACCCCTGCTTAGAGCTCTTTGATTGCAGCTGGACTCTTGTCTGCCAGGCACTTGTGAGCCCTAGAGTTTTCTGGAGCTGCTGGAACACTCTTCTCTGCATGCGGACTGTTTTGGGTCCTTCAGGTCCTTGTCCTGAGTGAAGCCACCTATCTCTGTTATACAAAGATCGCAGGTCCCTTCCTTGTACTGTCTCCCTTCCCACTTTATTTTCCCCCACAGCACTGTTATTTGGTATCTTTATATGGTTACTTAAATATTTTATTTATCTGGTTGCCCTCCAGCCCCCATTCATCAGGGCAGGGATTTTTAAAAATACCAGCTTTATTGAGATCTGATTCACATACCATATAGTTCATCCATGTAAAGTATGCAGTTCAGTGGTTTCCAGCACACTCACAGAGTTGTGCAGCCGTCACTACAGTTGATTTTAGAACATTTTCATCACTCACAAAAACCCCTGAACTCGTTAGCAGTCATTTCCCAGTCTTTGGCAACCACTGATCTGTTTTCTGTCTCAGTGGATTTGCCTCTTCTGGACACTTCTATGAATGGAATCCTAGAGTATGTGGTCTTTTGGGAATGACACCCCCCCTTTTTTTTTTAATTTTAACACCAGTATAGTTAATATAAGTGTTAAATTAGTTTCAGATGTACAATATAGGGATTGAACAATTGTATATATTACTCGGTCTCATCTTAAATTCCACATATGAGTGAAATCATATGGTATCTGTCGTTCTCTGACTTATTAACGTTGGATGGATCTCGAGATCCATCTATGTTGTTGCATATGGCAAGATTTCATTTTTTTTGTGTGGCTGAATAATACTTCATTGTGTGTGTGTGTGTGTATATATACATATATATATATATATATATATATATATATATATATATATATATATATATATATATATATATATATATATATACACATATATATATTGGAATAAAATATTCCATAATTTGGCTATTGTAAATAATGCTGAAATAGATATAGGGGTGCATATCTTTTTGAATTAGTGTTTTCATTTCCTTTGGGTAAATACCCAGTAGTGTGATTTCTGGATCATAGGGTAGTTCTATTTTTAATTTGTTGAGGAAACTTCACACTGTTTTCCACAGTAGCTGCACCAGTTTGCATTCCCACCAACAGTGCAGGAGGGTTCCCGTTTCTCCACATCCTTACCAACACTTGTTATTTCTCCTGTTGTTATTGTTTTTTAAAATATGTATTTATTTAAGTAATCTCTACACCCAATGTGGGTCTCAAACTCATGACACCAAGATCAAGCCTGCCCTTCTGACTGAGGCAGCCCAGTGCCCTGTTTCTTGTATTTTTGATTTTAGCCATTTTGATGGATGTGAGGTGATCTCTCATTGTGGTTTTGATTCGCATTTCTCTTATGATTAGTGATGTTGAACATCTTTTCATGTGTCTGTTGGCCATCTGTATGTCTTCTTTGGAGAAATGTCTGTTCATGTCTTTTGCCCATTTTTAGATTGGATTATTTATTTTTTTGGTGTTGAGTTATAGAAGTTTTTTATTTTCAAAAAAATATTTTTATTTTTTAAAGTAAGCTCTGCATCCATTGTGGGGCACAAACTCACAACCCCAAGATCAAAAGTCACAGGCTGTACTGACTGAGCCAGCCAGGCACCCCTGTAGAATTTCTTTGTACCTTTTGGATACTAATCCTTTATTGGATATATCTTTTGCAAATATATTCTCCCATTCAGTAGGTTTTTAGTTTTGTTGATCATTTCCTTTGCTGTGCAGAAGCTTTTTATTTTGATGTAATCGCAATAGTTTATTTTTGCTTTTATTTTCCTTACCTCAGGAGACATATCTAGAAAAGAGTTGCTGTGGTTAGTGTCAGAAAAATTACTGCCTGTGCTCTTCTAGGACTTTTATAGTTTTGGGTCACACGTGGAGGTGATTGGCTCCTTTCACTTAGCATAATGTTTTCAAGACTCATCCATGTTGTAGCATGTTTCATTCCTTTTTATGGTTGAATGATATTCTGTTGTACAGATATAGCATGTTTTGTTTATCTGTTCATCAGCTGATCAATATTTGTGTTGTTTTCATTCTTTAAGTCATTTGGTTAGGGATGGATTGGTTTTGTTTCCAGGCCCAGATCACTGTCTGGAACGTTGTGTGTTTGTTAAAAGAGTAAGTTTCTGCCGTGGTGCCTAGTTCCTGGCTGACAGACAGTCTGGGCTCAATGAATACTTGTTGAAATTATCATGGATATGAAGACAAAGGGGAAAAGGAAGAGGAGGGGAGAGGGAGAGATCTAGTTGTAGAAGATTGTACTGAGTTAAAGTTTGGGCCTTTGCCCAGGAGTCGGCTCCTTTCTTGAGAGTTGGGTTAGAGAGTTCCACAGCAAGCTGGCCTTGGGCTTTTGCCCTACTGGCCGCTTTGCTAGAGCTGGGCTTGAGCCCAGGAAGGTGTTCCACAAGTGTCAAAAGTCCACTCCTGCCTGGGACCTTCTGGCTAGAGGTTTTCTCTCTGTTGCTCCTTCATTGTCTGCTGTTGGCCGGACATGGCAGGGTCTGGCACCTTACACCCTCACCCTACCCCACCCCCAGCACAGGGCTCCGAGTGTCCCAGGGAATCTCGTGGCCTTGTGTCTCTTGTGTCTCCCTCACCTCAAAGTGGCAACCACCTCCTTTGTGAGATAAGACTCAGCTACTCCAAGACAGCAGCTAGAGGGCAGGCTGAGGATGCCCTACCCTCATCCCTTGTGCTTTTCTCCTCTAGCAGTGAGCCCCAGAGGTGGCAAGTGGGACCCTCTGGGGAAGAGTCAACACTGGTCGGTTTTTTTTCTTTTTTAAATTAAACTTTAATTTTTTCCCACCTTTATTGAGACACAGTTGGTTTTATAACACTGTATAAGGTTAAGGTATATGGCCTGATAGTGGGTGTGTGTGTGTGTGTGTGTGTGTGTGTATGTATATATTAGAAATGATGATCACAATAAGGTTAGTTAACACATCTCTCATCCCACGTAGTTACCATTTTTGTGTGTGTATGTTGAGAACTTTTCAGATTTATTCTTACTTTCAAATGTATAATATAATAATGTTAACTGTAGTCATCAGGCTGTATATTACATCCTCAGAACTTACTCTTCTTGTAACTGGAAGTTTGGACCCTTTGTTTCCTTTGACCACCTTCAACACCACTGGCTCCCTGCAACCACCAGTCTACTCTCCGTTTCTAGGAGTTTGATTTTTTAGATTTCACATGTAAATGAGATATCATTTTTGTTGTTGTCTGACTTTTTTTCACTTAGCATAATGCCCGCAGGGTCCATCCATGTTGTTCCAAATAGCAGGATTTCCTTTTTTTTTTTTTTTTTTATGACTGAATAATAGTGTGTGTGTGTGTGTGTGTGTGTGTGTGTGTGTGTGTGTGTGTGTGTACACCACATTTTCTTTATCCATTTATCCATCAGTGGATACTTCAGTTGTTTCCATGTGTTAGCAACTGTAAATAATGCTGTAGTCAACATGGAGGTGCAGATGTCTCTTAGATGGTGTTGTTATTTCCTTTGGATATAAGTAAATCCTTGGATTATGAGTAACTTGTTCTGTGAGCATTCTGCAAGACAAGCAAACATTTCCAGTAAATTTTAACTCAGTAAATGAGCAGTATCTTGCAATGCGAGTAGTAGGTGACGCCAAATGGCACATGATCACAATCGATCACAACTAAGCCCACAACAAGCACAACTTGAAAACACTTTGGTAGACAAGTGCTTTGGATTACAAGCATGTTTCTGGAACGAATTCTGGTTACAAACCAAGGTTTTACTGGTATACCCAGAAGTGGGATTGCTGGATCATATGGTACTTCTGTTTCAATTTTCTTGAGGAACCTCCATCCAGTTTTCCGCAGTGGCTGCATCAATTTGCATTCCCACCAACAGCACACAAGGGTTCCCTGTTGTCCACATCCTCACCAACACTTGTTATCTCTTTCTGATCCTGGCCATTCCAGCACATGTAGGGTGATCCCTCATTGTGATTTGGTTTTTTGTTTTTTCAACTTAAAATTTTTTTATTTTATTTTTGAGAGAGAGAGAGAGCCAGGAGAGAGGGGCAGCGGGAGAGGAAGAGAGAGAGAGAGAGGGAATATGAGAATGAATTCCAAGCAGTCTCCACACCCAGCTCGGAGCTCGAATGGGGGCTTGATCCCATGACCCTGAGATCATGAGCCAAAAATCAAGAGTCAGACTTTCAACCAACTGAGCCACCTAGGTGCCCCTGTTCCCATAGATCTTTTTGTTTTGTTTTGTTTTTTTAATTTTTGAGAGAGCGTGCATGTGCAAGTGGGGGAGAGGGAGAGGAGGGGGAGAGAGAAAGGGAGAGAGAGAAAGAGAAAGAGAGAGAAAGAGAATGAATCCTAAGCAGGCTCCACGCTGAGACTCCCAAGCTCTCACTCTCGGCTTGATCTTACCACCATGAGATCATGACCTAAGCCAAAATCAAGAGTCAGCTGCTTTACCCACATGCCCCCTCATTGTGATTTTGATCTGCATTTCCCTGATGATTAGTATG